GCAGAGTTCGTTCCATGGCCGGCTTCCCCATGGCTTTCCCACTGCACCCTCCTGGCTTGCGGCCACCAGAGCGGGACCTGCCCCCAGCCGATCTCCGGCCATCCTCCACGGGAAGCGTGGCCTCCCCCTTCAGCAGTGGCCTCCCCTCAGCCAGCCGCATCTCACCAAAGCAGGAAAACGGTAACTCCTCCATCATTGCTGGGCTCAACGACACCACGAAACCTCCATCGTAACTGCAGGACAGCTCTTAACTGCTTCTGGAACTGCTATTCAGTTGAACAAACTGAAGGTAATGCATTTTGAGAGATCAGGAGAGCCTCCCTCAGCAGTGTGCGACATAGGAGTGAGGAAGGGAGATTTTTTTTTTAGGTTTTTTTGGGTGCGTTTGTTTTTTGTTTAAAAGAAAAAGTTTTTAAACTGTAAAAAGGGAAGGAAGGAAGACAAGAAAACTATCCAAAGATGTATCGCGACAACGCAAGTGAAAGAAAACAATTCTTGGAGGACGCTGGCAGCACTCTCATTCCCTTCCACACCCCTTCTTGCTCACCAGCCTGAGGTGGAGAGCTGCAGCCAGGGAACGAACACTCGTCTTTCTTTGCCTTCAAAGGAACATGGCTTTCAAGGCCCTCTGGGTGTGACTCCAAACTGGAAGGGAAGGGAAAGGGACACTGCTCCTCCCAGTGGTACTCAGCACCCCTGAGCAAAAAAAAAAAAAACAAAAAACCTAACCATGAAAGATGAAACCAACAGCCCCTTCCTTCCCCGATATCTCCTCCTCCCTGGAAACTGTACTCAGTTCCTCATTCAGGTGTCTATGCATCTCTAGCAACTTTTAAAATAATACCAAAGACAGACAGACACACACACACACAAAAGAAAGAAAGGAAAAAAAAAAAGGCAAGTTGCGGTCCATGTTTACTTCAGTGTGGATGGTACGGCAGAGGCGGCTCAGTGCTGTCCCACGGGCTGGGGGCTGCCCTCTCCCCGGCAGGTTTGTCCCTTTCAGCGCACACAGAGAATGAACTGCCTGTGCTCCAACCCTGCAGAGGATTTCTTTTTTTTTGGTTAGATATTTTGTTTCAAAGAAGAAGAAAAATGAGGAGTGTGTGCTTGGGTGGGATGAAGGGTCACAGGTCTCCAGCGTGGCCCCCTTCTCCTGCACGTGTACAACGGACTTGTTTATACAGTTGGGTTTTTTTTTTGTTTGTACGGTTGTTTTTGTTCTTTTTAAAGCCTTGTTACAGAGGTGGATGTAGTTGCACATTCTGGCCTGCTGTGGACCACGAGACAGATACCTGTGTGTGCCCGGGGGTGGGGGGAAGGATGGTGGGGGGGGATTCAGGCTATAAACAATGGGTAGAGATT